TGTTCCTGATTTACAGCATCCGCAGTTCTTTCGGTTTTTATTTGACTAGGTTAGGATTGTTTTCACTGGAGTTCAGACGCATGAGGGGGGATCTCATAGAGACTTATAAAATTCTAACAGGACTGGACAGGGTAGATGCAGGGAGGATGTTCCCGATGGTGGGTGTGTCCAGAACCAGGGGTCACAGTATGAGGATTCGGGGTAGACCATTTAGGATGGAGATGAGGAGACATTTCTTCACCCAAAGAGTGGTGAGCCTGTGGAATTCTTCACCACAGGAAGTAGTTGATACCAAAACACTGAATGTATTCAATAGGCAGCTAGATATAGCATTTGGGGCGAATGGGATCAAAGATTATGGAGAGAAAGCAGGATTAGACTACTGAGTTGAACGATCAGCAATGATCGTGAGGAATGGTGCAGCAGGCTCAAAGGTCCGAATGGCCTCCTCCTGTTCCTATCTTCTATGTTTCTCTCTACACTGTCCCAAACACTCCCAGGACAAGGACTGCACAGGGTCAGATACAGAGTAAAGTTTTATAAATGTAGATATTATATGATAGTTTCATAGGTTTGTATTTAGTGTCTTCCTACACTCATTGGTCTGAAGTCTGGAGAGTGTGAGACGGACTGAGATCTCACAGTTTGTGTATATTTTGAGCTGTAGGCTTCAGCTTATTGGGAAGTGGACTGGGATTACTGAGCTCTGCTCCTGTCAAATTCTGTGGAGCGGCAGAGAACAGCTTGCTCCCACAGGCAGGCAGGTTGGGCTGTACCCTGGAAAACCTTCAGTGTTCACCCTTGACTCACTCATTACCCACCGCCATACAGGAACGTCTCACCTTTTGTTCTTTTCTCGCCATTTCTGCCTCTTCTTCCTGACAAGCTGCCAACAAGATCTCAACGTGCTCTTCACACACAATGTACCCGTCAATACTGGGGATGGGGATTGGTGAGGAATCAGGGTAAGAAAAGGAGACAATTTAGATTCTTCTTCCATTGGGATCACGCATTGACACTTTTTAAAGACATATGCACAGAATTGCAGAACATGTACAACACAGGAACAGGCCATTTAACCCATCTGCTCTAGGCTGGTGCATCTGCTCCATACAAGTTCCCTTTCACCTTTATTCATCTCACTGTGTCAGCAAATGCATTAATTCTTCTCTCCTCCCTGTACTTTTCCAGTCTCCTCAAATCAGCTGTGAAAACAGCCAAAGATAAAAAGCTGAGCATTTTTTTGTGACAATGGGATATATTATAGCGTTTCTCAAGATCTGTGGCAAACACAAATACTTCTCAGTCACTTCAGTAAGGAGGGAATAGCTTTAATATTTCACCTTCTGGCCCTTGGAAAAATGTGAATCAGTGCGTTTGTACCAAATCACCCAAGTGACCTCAGCTTTGCAGGGGCCAGAATTGGACGAGTGGTCAGATCTCGGAGGGCTCAGGAAGGTGACAGAACAACAGTCTATGGTTTAGACTCAGACATCCAGCACAAAAACAGACTCTTCGGTCCAACTTGTCCATGCCAACCAGATATCCTAAATTAATCTAGTCCCATTTTGCCAGCATTTGGCCCATATCCCTCTAAATCCTCCCTATTCATGAACCCATCCAGATGTCTTTTAAATGTTGTAATTGTACCAGCTTCCACCACTTCCTCTGGCAGCTCGTTCCTTACATGCACCCCACTCTGCGTGAAAATGTTGCCCCTTAGGTCCCTTTTAAATCTTTCCCCTCTCACCTTAAACTTACGCCCTCCTGTTTTGGACTCCCCCTACCATGGGGAAAGGACCTTGACTATTCACCCTGTCCATGCCCCTCATGATTTTATAAACCTCTCAGCCCATTTACAGTAAGTTTGCAAATGTAGCAGCGCTAAGAAATGGCAAGGTTCTACCTACACAGGATGTGAATGACCCGAGTGGAAATCAAATCCAACGACTGCCCCTGCACAGTCGACGTTCAGTTTCCGAGCCACTCGGTTGATGTTGGGAACCCTCAGGTGCTTGCAGCCTCTGGGAAGCATAGAGGGTTTGAAGAGATAGACATTTCCAAAATCATTGCGGGGGACCTTAAAGGTAATAAGATTGATGAGAAAATCAGTACCACCATATAACCAAATACCACGTTTTAACAACGTTTTTCACCCTCCTTTCACATCACCCTTACCTCCTGAAGGACATGTCTTCCTGAGAACATACAGACGTCAATGAGGCCATGTGCACCCCTCCCCAGAGTGGCCATCATACAGCTGTAAATCTAGACAGTGTGTGGAGAAAAGCCATGGAAGCTATCATGGTTGAGCTTAATCGTGTCCATATGAATTAGCAGCAGGATTTAGCCCCTTGAGTCCATTCCAATAAAATCAGGATGTGGAGGTGCCGGTGTTGGACTGGGGTGGACAAGGTCAGAAGTCACACGACACCAGGTTATAGTCCGACAGGTTTATTTGAAATCACAAGCTTTCGGAGTGCTACAGGTGATCCCACGACACTGTTCTGCATCGGTAAAATCTTCTTTACTGTCCTGTTTTAACAGCATCACCATGATAAATTGTTATGATCCCTTGACTTTAATTGGTTTGTACAGTTTTCAATTTGGCATGTGATTCCAGTTATTTGGTTTGTCTCCAGCACCACCTTATTTCTAATTTTTTGTAACTATCTCTCTGCCTCAATCGGATTATAGGCCATGCCTACTCTGGTTATTCAGTTGTTGACACTTTACTCACCGTCTAACACTCCTGGTCACCTGCAGAGACTTACAACTGGTGTGAGTGGAGTGTCAGATGATATGATCTTTTGATCTCTCAGGCCTTGACGTCTCTGCCTATAAACTCTGGGTCTGTGAGCGCTGCTCTCTCACTGCACCTGATGAAGGGGTTGCTCTCCGAAAGCTTGTGTGATTCCAAATAAACCTGTTGGACTGTAACCTGGTGTTGTGTGGCTTCTCACCTACCTGAGACATACCAACAAAAAAATTGCTGATTCAGCTGGCACTCTTCAAAGGGGGAGCCCTGCATTTACAGCAATGGATTTTCTAAGTTGGCTGGGAGTCTGACGGTTGTCATGAAGGGGATATCTCAGGCTGTGGAGGACTAACTCCATAGTGTGTATCTGATTGACAGGCTTGTCCCGCAGTCTTTAGGGGAGCCCTCCAAGGCAGGCCACAACAGCAGATGGGAATCTCGCGTCCACGAGCCAGGTGGTCCCTCACCCTGGGGAGAGTCTGATTGTGACATGGGTAAGTTCAGAGGGTCCTGGGAAGTGGAGATGTTGGAGAGGAGCACTACTGTTCCTCCTGGCCCACAAGGAGGGCTATAAAGCCTGTGCCTAAACAATTCCTGCCTCCCTTCAGGTGCTGGGTCTCCTGAAGCTCCAGTGGCCATGGGTTAGACACCAAAGGGGAGGGTCATTATAATATTTGAAAGGCCAGCCTGCCTCCTGTCCCAGCTTTGTAGATTTTGAAAATTCTGACATCTTACCCAGAACCCTGAACCATAAATTTTTGAGGCATGAAATTACCCTCAACCTCCCTTATCTAAACACCAGCTCTCTACACTAGGTGTCAAGCTGTTGGTCAGGGCTGGGTCTCCTCTCCTTCCACCTCAGAGAGGGTGGTCCCTGGACTCAGGACTCACTCCACTGAACACAAGCACACAATTTCATCCGACACTCCCTGCACTGTCCGCAGAAATATTCCATCTCTCGCAGGAGACATTAATCTGAACCCTTGTCTGTCCCCTCAGATGAACCTAGAAGGTTCCATGGCTACTATTTGAAGAAGAGCTGGGAGAAAGGAACTGATGGTCAGACATTTTCTTTAGAAGGTCACGGGGCCAAGGCAGGTGGACAGAGTTAAGATTCTGATCTCACTGAATAGTGGAATGGAATAGGTTGGAGAGGGTGAACGGCCTTGATTTGTTCCTATGTAAAAAATTCAATGGAATCATGGATAATACCCCATCTCCTCCTTCCCTACAAAACAGAACTCGCACCTTCCCATTGACAGCACTTGGTGGAGAAAAGGGCTCCGTTTGCCAGTAGCCAAAAAGTCCAAGATCGTCCTTGTCTCGATCTTCCCAATTGGCCGATCGGGCTTTCCGTGCTCGATTTGATTGGCTTTTCACCATCTGGTAAAAGAAGGCGAGAAAAATATCTCAACCATCAGCAACTAGTGTGTCCAATAATAACGTTGTGATTTACTTTAAACAGTAAAACATCCCCAGAGAATAACTCGGCATTGATCTGGCACATCCACAAGCGTCCACTCCTCCCACCACTGATTTGATTGATTTATTGTTACATGTACCTAAATACAGTGAAAAGCTTTGTTTACAAGCAGTACAGGCAGATCATACTTACAAGCAGATACAGATCACAGGTTGAAAAACAAACTTAAACAGAGGCATACAGGTTACGTTGCAGAGGGTGTGTGCTAAGCAAGATCAATATTAGCAAGGTCAGCATTATTTGAAGTTAGAAAGTCCATTCATTAGTCTAATAACAGCAGGGAAGAAGCTGTCCCTGAACCTGCTGGTGTGCGTGTTCAGGCTCTACCTGATGGAAGTTGGAGATCATTACCGGGGTGTGATGGGTCTTTGATGATGTTGGCAGCCTTTCCGCGGTAGCAAGCTGTGTAAATGGAGTCCATGGATGGAAGGTTGGCTTCCATGATTTGTCTGGGCTGTGCACACCACCTTCTGTAGTTTCTTACGGTCCTGGACAGAGCAGTTGCCGTACCAGGCCGTTATGCACCCGAACAGTATGCTTTCAATGGCACATCTGTAAAAGTTGTTGAGGGTCCGTATGGACATGTCAAATTTCCTGAGCTGCCTGTGGAAGAGGCGGCGTTGTGGTACCTTCTTGACCACTGCAACCCTCTCAACCTCAGCTCCATTGATGTAGATGGGGGCATGTTCTCCTCGTTTCTTTCTGAAGTCAATGATTAGTTCTTCAGTTTTGCTGACATTGAGAAAGAGGTTGTTCTCACTGCAGCACGTCACTAAGTGCTCCTTTCTGTATTTTGACTCGTTGTTGTTAGATATTTGTCCTACCACGATGGTGTCCGCTGCAAACTTGTTGTTTGGAATTTGGCAACACAATCATGGGTGTACAGGGAGTACAGTAGGGGGCTGAGGATGTATCCTTGGGGGACTGCAGTGTTGAGTGTTATCGTGGAGGAGGTGATGTTGTTCATCTTTACTGATTGTGGTCTATGGGTCAGGAAGCTAAGGATCCAGTCACAGAGGGTGAAGCTGAGACCAAAGACATGGACTTTTGAGATCAGACTGGAGGGGATAATGGTGTTGAAGGCAGAGCTGTAGTCAATGAACAGGAGTCTGAGGTAGGTGTCTTTGTTGTCCAGATGAGGACTGTGTACCAAAGAAGTCAATCTGAGTGTTCCCCAACTGGAAGCCTTAGACGAACCAGGAAATCCACTCCCTACTGAAGACCAGACGTGCAGTATTCAAACTGGGTGACCCAGACCAATACAGGAAATCCAGGTATGACCTCCACAAAGCCATCAGGGAGGCCAAGAGGCAGTACCGGACCAAGTTAGAGGCCCAGACCTACCAAACAGACTCCCCATTGGCTATGGCAAGGCCTAAACAACATTACGGGATACAAAATGGAGTACAGCAAGATAGCAGACAAAGACCCATCCCTCCCTGATGCGCTCAATGCTGTCTATTCTAGGTTTGAGCAGAATGCCAGTGGCGCGGTGTCACCTGCCCCGACACACCTTTTCCCTCTGTCACCGCTGCAGACGTCAGATCGATCTTCCTGGGAGACAACCCAAGGAAAGCGATGGGCCTGGACGGTGTCCCCGGCTGAGCATTCAGATCCTGTGTGGACCAACTAGTGGAGGTATTCACCCACATCTTCAACCTCCCACTCCTACAGGCCAAAGTCCCCACCTGCTTCAAGAAGCCCGCCCTCATCCCCGTACCTAAGAAAACACGTGCAGTGTGCCTTAACGACTACTGCCCTGTGGTTCTGAGCTCAGTAATCATGAAGTGCTTCAAGAGGCTGGTCATGGCCCACGACAACTCCAGTCTCCCAGCCTACCTCGATCCCCTACAGTTTGCCTAACGACATAACAGGTCTACAGTGGATGCTATATCCCTAGCCCTGCACTCATCCCTGGAACCTCTGGACAACAAGGACACCTACGTCAGACTCCTGCTCATCGACTACAGCACCGCCTTCAGCACACTGACGCTCAGTAGCAGCAGTGTGCTAGATGCACTGCAGAAATTCACCAAGGCTCCTCAGACAGCACTTCACAAACCCACGACCACTTCCATCCAGAAGGACATGGGCAGCAGAGACATGGGAACATCACCATCACAAGTTCCCATCCAAACCACTCACCATACTGACTTGGAAATATATCATCATTCCTTCAGTATCTAAATACAAAATCGAATAAATACAAAAAAATTGAACAATATAAGGAGATATTAAGACATGTGCGAGGACAGGTGACCATTAGCTTAATCAAAGATGTAGGTCTCAAGGTGCATCTTTTTAAAAATGCGATCACACTGATGCTGAGCATCACTGGCTGGGCCCAGCATTTATTGTCCGTCCCTAGTTGCCCTTAAAAAGGTGGCGGTGAGCTGCCTTCTTGAACCACTGCAGTCCATCTACTGTGCGCAGACCCACAATGCCCTCAGGGAGGGAATTCCAGGGTTTTGACTGAGCGATACTGAAGGAACGGCGATATATTTCCAAGTCAGGATGGTGAGTGTCTTGGAGGGGAACAATTAAAATTACTGATGTTCGAGAAACCAAAACTGGAGAACACAGATTTCTTGGAGTGTTGTAGGAGCTTCGGGAGACTGGGAGGGGAAAGGTCATGAAGAAGATTTACCAAGGGCACTGCTCAAGTGCCTGGGGGCAATGGGTAGAGTGAGTAGGTCTAGAGAGTTGGGATCTACAGTACCTTACAGGGGACCTCTCCATCTCTCACCACACGGGCTTCCTTTAGCCAGATGTCCTTGGAATGAAGTGTGTGCACACAGTCTCTGAAACAGTAAGCAACAAACTAAATGAGTTACCAGACAACGTGTGTTTCTGTGTGTGCGCATGCATCTGCACATATGCAAGTGTTAGACACCTGAAGCAGTGCCACTGACTGCATCAAGCAACATACAGTAATTCAGGTCAAATCGTTCATAATTAAAGTCACAGGAAAGCTTTGCTGACAAATACAATGGCTAGTGTGGAATGGAGAGGGCTATTAGACCAGAACTTACAGCTTGAAAAGACAAGGAGAGAGAATTAGTGAAAGAGGGAGAGCGGAGTGACAAATCAGAGAGAGAGGGGTATGGAAAGAGAGAATGAGACAGTGAGGGGCAGAGAGGGGCACAGAGACACAAAGAGAATTAGAGAAACCGAGAGGGCGGAGGCGAGAGAGATAGAAACACAGATATAGGCAGAGACCAAGAGGGAACAGAATTCGAAACAGACAGAAAGGAAAACCAAAACAGAATCACAGGAATAAAGACATACAGAGAGAGGAGAGAAGGACAGAGGAGAGAGGAGAGAGAGAATTCGAAAAAAAGAATAGAAAGATAAAAGGAAGAACCAGAGACAGTCAGAGGGCAGGAGACAGAAATAGACAGTGTACTCAATAAAGACAGGAACGAACTTGGCTGTGTTGCCCACACAGTTGAACAGCTTGCCAACTTTAACATTCAGTATGAACTGTCAGGAGAGACAATGAGAATAAATATTGATTCTGGCTTTTCAAGGCATTTGTCACCTGACTAGGGGGGAAATATCCTTACCTCGAGTACACGGCCTCTGTCTTGCAGTAGCCGAGGATTGCTGCTGTCGGAGGATACAGGATCTCATATTTCAGCAGATGTCTTTTCAGGACATAGAGAGGGTGGTTTTTATACTCGGCTACAGACGTGGGCAACGGTTGGCTGAGCATCTTGGCTTGCATCTGCAAAACACATCAAAGGAAAGACTAGAATACATCAAAGCATAGAAACTGACCCTTCAGCCCATCTGCACATAACCCTGCTTCTATCCTATATCATTTAACGCTATCACCACATCCTTCCTTGTGTGTTTATTCAGCCTCCCTTTATTCTATACGCAAATACAATACGATCTGTATCAATACATATCAATGAACGTATTGGCACAATTAATCTTAACCATTCCCTGTGGAAGTGTGTTCCACATTCTCTGGACAAAGGGTTTCTCCTTAATTCCCGTTCCGTTTTATTAGTGACTGTCTTGTATTGACAGCCCCGCTAAGTTTCAGAAATATGGAACAGAGAATTTCTAAACTGGATCCCCGGTCCGTGATTGGAAAGTCAAATACAGCGACCACTGAAAGGTCATGACCTGAGGCATCAACTTAATTTCTCTCCCTGGCTGCTGCTCTGGCCAAGGAACACTGGCAGCATTTTCTGCTTTTATTGCTGGTCTGTGATAATTGCTAAACTGATTTCAGTCAAGGAGTTCCTGTGGGGTGGATAATTCTGATCAAAAATCCGGGGAAAGGATATGTCAATGACCGAGCGACTAGACTTTTTTGGGAGACACTGGGAGCTGCAAGTATTGGTTCATTCATGTAAAGATTCAAGTGACTGCTTTCAGAAAGTAACATCAGTATCTGAAGAACTTGAGACATGATGCAGTGAGTAAAGTGTGCTCAGGAGGAACAGGTGATTTTGGACCACTGGTTCACAAATCTGTCCCCCACTGTGGGGTTCTGTCACTACATCACTCTGCTGTAGACTCATTGTGTTTTATTTGTTCATAGCATGGGGGCATCACTGGCTGGGCGCAGCATTTATTGCCTGTCCCTAGTTGCCCCTTGAGAAAGTGGTGGTGAGCTGCCTCTTGAACCGCTGCAATACATGTGCTGTAGGTAGACCCATGATGCCCTTAGGGAAGGAATTCCAGGATTTTGATCCAGTGACACTGAAGGAATGGCGATGTTTCTAAGTCAGGATGGTGAGTGGCTCGGAGGGGAACTTTGCTGGGGGGGGTGCGGTATTCCCATGTATCTGCTGCCCTTGTCCTTCTAGATGGAAGTAGTCATGGGTTTGGAAGGTGCTGTCTGAGGATCTTTGGTGAATTTCTGCAGTGCATCTTGTAGATGGTACACACTGCTGCTACTGAGCGTCGGTGGTGGAGGGAGTGGGATGTTTGTGGATGTAGTGCCAATCAAGCGACTGCTTTGTCCTGGATGGTGTCAAGCTTCTTGAGTGTTGTTGGAGCTGCCCCCATCCAGGCAAGTGGGGAGTATTCCATTACAACTGGAGAGATTGATCACTGTGACACATCAATCACTCAGCTTTGATGGAGCTAGGGACTTCCTGAATTTGGAGGCTGGTCTAATGAGACTATTGTCACTTATTATCCAGCAGTTCTAAAGGGTTGGGCGTAGGTAGTAGAGACAGACAATCTCCTTTGGACTTGCTGTATAGGGCCACCTGCTGTATACATACAAACATTTGAAACAGGAGCTGATTTGGCTCCTCCAGCCCATTTTCCCATCTATGGCTCATCTGTCAGTGTTTCAAATTCCACTTTCCCATACACCCCCAATAACCTTTGACCCTCTGCCTAAAAAGAATCTATTCACCACCCACTTAAAAACATTCAATGGCCCCATCACCACTGCCTTCCACAGCAGAGTTTCAAAGTCACACATAACCCTCACCTCATCTCATCCTGAAAGGGTGAATCCTAATTTTAAAGCAATGCCCCCCAGTTCTGGATTCACCCACAAGAGGATCCACCCTTTCCACCATCCACATTGTGAAGATCATTCAGGATCACAACCATAGAATCCCTACAATGTGAAAAGAAGGTATTTAGCCCATCGAGTCTGCACTGACCCTTGAAAGTGCATCCCACCCAGACTCAATCCCCCACTACCTGATCCCCGTAACTCTGCATTTCCATGGCTAACCCACCTAACCTGTACAACCTTGGACACAACAGGCAATTTAGCATGGCCAATCCACCCTAACCTGCACATCTTTGGACTGTGGGAGGAAGCTGGAGCACCCAGAGGAAACCCACGCAGATGCGGGGAGAATGTGCAAACTCCACACAGACAGTTGCCCGAGGGTGGAATCGAACCCAGGTCCCTGACGCAGCAGTGTTAACCACTGAACCACCGTGCTGTCCTTACACACTTCAAATTACTCTTTATTCTGCTAAACTCCAATGGAAACAAGCCCAATCTGTACGACCTTTCCTCATAAAAAAACACCCACTCTCTCCAGGTACCAGTGTGGTACATCCAATCTAGTGGGGTCAGGAGAGTATTTATTTGAAATCCTCACAGATTAGTACAAGACAGGAGGGTATTCAGCTCGTCAAAGTCTGTGCCTGAAGTTCTTCTTCAGAAACCCTGGCAGCTGGTTTTGACACGTGTTTGGTACATCCCCTGCTTAAGCTTCCGCAGTTTGACTTACAACAGCTGTTCCACACCCATTTTAGAAATGGAAACTACCTGCAAAGCCACAGCGTTGAATCTGTACACATTTCAACAGGCTCTGGGGAACCCAACAACATGACCACAAGGATGATGCAGCGCCAATGGATGATGCAGCGCCAATGGTAATGTGTAACTGCAGCTTCAAACCACAGCCCCAGGCACAATCCCCCTGGAACAGGAGAGTTGATCTCCATCAGTGGAGGAATGGGATATAAAAGGAGGGAGGTTTTGCTAAAACTATACAAGGCACTGGCCAGACCACAGCTGGAATACTGTGAACAGTTCTGGGCCCCTTATCTAAGGATAAATACACTGGCATTGGAGGCAGTCCAGAGAAGGTTCACTAGGCTGATTAAAGGTATGGAGGAACTGATTCAGGAGATTGAGTGGATTGGGTCTGTTGTCATCGAAGTTTAGAAGAATGAGAGGTGACTTTTTTTGATACGTACAAGATTCTTAGGGGATCTAACAGGGTAGATGCAGAAAGGTTGTTTCTCCTGGTGGGAGAGTCTAGGACCAGAGGGTATCATTTCAGACCAAAGGTTCGTACATTTAAGATGGAGATGAGGAGGAATTTCTTCTCTCAGAGGGCACTGAATTTGTGGAATTCTTTACCACAGAGGACTGGGTCATTAAGTATATTCAAGGTTGAGATAGATTTTTAATCAGGAAGGTAATAGAGGGTATGGGAAAAAGGCAGGGGAGTGGAGTTGAGGATGATCAGATCAGCCAAGATCTCATTGAATGGAGGAACAGATTTGAAGGGCTGAATGGCCTCCTTTTGCTCCTTTGTCTTATAGGCTTGTAGTGTCACCAATGGATCACACACGAAGACATCCATGTTGTTGGAAAAGAGGCATCACAGGCAAAGTGAAATTACATAGAAACTGTACCCTGCAATTGAGAAATGACATTCTGAGAGTGCTGCTTCCTGCTTTGCCTGAATGTGAACTCATTGTGCAACAGTGACTTGTCAATTTGCGAAGGTACAGTCAGATTCTGCAGGGAGGATCCTGCAGTTTCTTGGCTGGGTGGATGTGGGAAGGATGCTTCCTCCAGTGGAGAATCTGGGATGAGGGATCACTGTTCAGGGTCTCCCATTCAAATCAGAGATGAAGGGAATTTTTTCCTCTCAGAGGGCTGAGAGTATTTGGAATGGTCTTCCCCAAAAGGTGGTAGAGAGAGAATCTGTGAATATTTGTAAGACAGAAGTAGATAGATCCTTGATAAACAAGGAGGTAAAAAGTTACTGTGGTTGGGCAGGAATGTGGAGTAATCAGATCACCAATGATATAATTGAAAGGTGGAGCTAGCTCGAGGGCCAAGGAGCCTATTCCTGCTCCTGATTCTTTTGTTCACATGTATTATAGAACGGGAGAGTCTAGACTTAATATCGGAGAACATAATTATCAAGTGTATTGCTCCTGGCCGAAAATGATTTGTTGAACCTTTAAAAACAAGTTACTAGGGCTCAATGCGAGTTTTGTTTACAGTGGTGCTTTGTTCAAGCAGTGGGGGAAGATGTCTAAGAGTCATAGAGATCTACAGCATAGAAACAGGCCCTTCGGCCCAACTTGCCAATACCGGTCAGTTTTCACAATAAAATTAGACCCATTTGCCTGCATTGGGTCCATATCCCTCCATACCTATCCCATCCATGTACCTGTCTAAATGTTTCTTAAATGGTGAAATTGTACTCGCTTCCACTACTACCTCCGGCAGCCCTTTCCAGACACTCACCACCCTCTGAGTGAAAAGGTTGCCCCTCTGTGTTTGTAGAATACGCTTCACCCAGAGACAGACTGCTGACTGGTTTATGCAATCATAACCAGTTGTGGAGGCTAGATCTCATCAGCATGGCAACAGCTTTCCGATTGGCTCCTTGGCAGGTGAACAGAGAATGTGGGAACAATAGAGAGAGAGAGAGAGAGAAAGAGAGAGAAGCCAGCCCCCAGACTACAAAGAGAAAGGGTTTCGCTCTCTCTACAGTGAAATAGAGAAGATGGAAGATGGCTAGCTATTCTGTCTCACCAGTTGTCTTTAACCAGTGAGTAAAAGAGTGAACAACTAGTGAGCCAATTGACCCATATCAGCAGTGGAGAACTTAAAAGAAATCACTTGGAAACAATCGGAATCTCGGCATTCAGAAGGACCTGGGTGAATAAAGAGACGCCTCATTAAATCCTGTGGATTGATGCTATTGAATGTGTTTCTCCAGTGCTTTTTCCTCCACCAGTAACATCCACGTTTGTTGCTTGATTGTGTCTGTTCGTGTATGCAGGGGTTTAAGAAGAGGATTAAAGTTTCAGTTAGTGGAGTTATATGTTTTGTTTGCCTGCAGTTAGACTTGATTGCTTTATAATACAACGTGGAGGTACCGGTGTTGGACTGGGGCGGAAAAGGTCAGAAGTCACACAACACCAGGTTACAGTCAAACAGGTTTGTTTGAAATCACGTCAGGCAAAGGGGCTATGCTCTGAAAGCTTGTGATTTCAAATAAATCTGTTGGACTGTAATCTGGTATTGTGTGACTGCTGCTTTATAATAAATCGTAGTTTATTGTTAAATATAGAAATATGTTTTCCCTTAACTGGAGTCCAACCAGACAGGAAAATTGGGGATTTTAAATACTTTGATTAAATTTAGTAATCTAAATTTTTAAATTTAAATTTAAATTACATTTTAAAATTTTCCCAAGTCGTCATATCAGAGTATACAAGCTGTTCAGGAATAATCATCTTCATTAACTGCTAACAATAATATCAATACAGGAACGAGGAGATACCAAATATTTGCCATGGGAGCTTTGCCTCATCACCATCAGCAGAGAGAGAATGGGAATGGTAATGCACCTAAGGGTTGCTTCTAAGTCTATGTGGCTCCAAAGTAAATGCCACCTACCTCCTGGTCTTCCTTTCTCTCACGCTCTGTACAGCTGCTTTTGTAGGCTGCCAAAGTCTGGTCCCACCAGGCAGAGTCAACACGGTGTTTCCTTGTTGTGGTCATCCAAGCCACATCATACCTCTGGGTGACGTCTCTCACACAACCCTCATTGTCAAAGCTGACAATGTAGGAGAGTGGTTTGGAAGTAAGTTTAGCACAGAGTTCCGGTTGGTTTACAGTGTTGCGTACACAGTCAACTGCTACCCACTTCTTCTCTGCCTCTACGTAAACCTCAATCCATTGATCTGAGCCTTTTGAATTCAAAGACACCTCACTAATCATTCTTCCACCTTTGCTGTTGGCTTCGGTTTTGTTGCATTTTGAAGACCCTTTCTTACTGGGTTTAGTTTTCGCTGGAATATTCTCAAAATCATCGTCCCCACTGTCCTCACACTTTGGAGTCTTGAAGACTGAAGATACGACTGTTTGCTTACCTTGGGGAGACTTCATTTGTGAAGGGATTCGCTTTCTCCTTTTATCTCTATCTGAATTACTGTTAGAATCAGAACCATCGCCAACCTCAAAATCAGAATCGCTACCATCATCTCCTTCAGTGTCCTCTTCCTTGTAACATACTTTCGAAGCCACTCTCCGTCGACGCTCATTCTTTGGTCGTGGAGAGACTGATGTTTTGGATAGTGGGCACTCCTCATCCTCAAATCCAGATTCAGCAGAACCTCTATCAAGATTTTTGACATTCTTAGTTCTCCTTCTAGCATTTCCCCTCCTTTTTGCATGTTCTCCTGGGTTCCTTTTAGATGCAGGGTGAGTCTCGTCTTCTCTCTCAGTGCACATCTTCACTGCACCATCTTGCTCCCTCTCCAGTTTAACTACGACACCTCCATTTGCTCCTTTCTCAGGCACAGACTCTTGTTTAGTGTCTGGTGCTGAATTACCAATTTTTCGGGAATTATCTTTAGATTTGCTGTCCCTCCCGTTCTTCTAAATAAAACAAAGAGAAGATTTTACAGTCGGGACCAAGTTCAGATGCACATTTCACAACCTAAAGTTGGCATGCCCAAGACCTAACATTGCCAGAAATTGACTGGAACAACTTGAAACCTTAGACTTTGCCCATATGTTCTCTGGGACAATTGCTGATGAAGGACAGCTGAGCAGAGGCACTAAGGGAGTTGCGATGTGGTGTAAAAGCTGTGGAGGGGGTCTCTTATTGGTACAGCACTGGAATGGTGGTCTGCGACTTTGGGCTGTCCCCAGTGTTCCCTCTTAGCTTCATGTACAGAGCCAGACAGCAATTGGGAATGAGTTGCTCACGGAGCAAACAGTCTATACATAATTATGTACATACGCATGGTCAAGTTCAACAAACAGAGAGTAAAGAGAACTTTTTAAAAAAATTTATTGTTGGAAGGTGGGCGTCACTGGGCTTGACCTGCATTTATTGTCCATTCACAATTACCCTTTAGTTGCTAATGGTGGCAAGGTAATTCCTTGAAGTACAGTGGTCCATTTGGCATAGGCACACCACAACGCTGTCAAGGTTTGGAGTTGTAGGATTTTAAGACCATAAGTTAGAAGAGCAGACATAGGCCATTCAATGAGATCATGGCTGATTTAATAATCTTCAACTTCACATTCCTGCCTTTTCCCCAAAACCCTTGATTCCCTAATGATTAAAAAGGCTGTCTCAGCCTTGAATGTACTTAACAACGCAGCCTCGACAGCCCTCTGTGGTAATGAATTCCACAGATTCACTAGCTTCAGAAGAGAAAATCCTCCTCACTTCAGTCTTAAATGGGCATCCTCTTATTTTGAGATGATGCCCTCTGGTCCTAGACTCTCCCATAAGAGTAAACAACCTTTCTGCATTTCCCCTGTCAAGCCCTGTAAGTTTCAACAAGGTCACCTCTCATTCTTCTAAACCCCAGTAAGTACAAACCTACTCAACCTCTCACATAAGAAAATCCTTCCATACCATACCCTCAGGAAAAAAAGGCCAAGTGAATATTCTCTGGACTGCCTCCATTGCTGGTAAGTCTTCTCTTGGATAAGAGCACTAAAACTGTTCACCATATTCCGGCTGTGGCCTGATCAGTGTCTTGTATAGTTTAAGCAAAACCTCCATACTTTTATACTCCGTACCCTTTGAAATAAAGGCCAAATTCCCTTAGCCGCCCGTATTACTCGCTGAACTTGGATGCTGGCTTTTTGTGATTCATTTGTGAGGATCCCAAATCCCTCTGTTCTACAGCTTTCTGCAGTCCTTCCCCATTTAAATAATATTCAGTCCCTCTATTCTTCCTGACAAAGTGCATAACATCACATTTCCTCACATTATATTCCATCTGCCAAATGTTTGCCCACTCACTTACCCTGTCTATATCCCTCTGCAGACTCTTCGTGCCATCCTCACCACTTGCCTTCACACCTGTTTTTGTGTCATCCACAAATTTGATGACAGTACATTCACTTTCCTCATCCAAATCATTAATGCATAATGTAAATAACTGTGGGCTCCCAGCACCAATCCCTGTGGCACTCCATTAGTTACAAGTTGCCATTCTGAAATGCACCCCCCTTACTCCAACGCTCTGCCTTCTATTAGTTAGTCAATCTTCTATCTATGCAAATATACTACCTCCAGGGGCTCTTATTGTAAGCCTAATTTGTGGTATCGTATCAAACCCAGTCTGAAAATCCAAATATATGACATCCACTGTTTACCCTTAATCTATCCTGTTTGTTGCCCCTTCAAAGAGTTCTAATAAATTTGTCAGCTATGATTTGCCCTTAATGACTCTGCTTGAATCCTAGGATTCTCTGGGAAGCTAGAGAGGAGATTGCAGAGCCTTTGGCTTTGATCTTTATGTCATCATTGTCTTCAGGAATAGTGCCAGAAGACTGGAGACTAGCAAATGTTGTCCCCTTGTTCAAGAAGGGGAGTAGAGACAACCCTGGTAATTATAGACCAGTGAGCCTTA